CCAGCCGGACCCCGCCTGCCCCGACGCCGGCGGCGGCGCGGCCATGAAGCTGAAGCTGAAGAACGTGTTTCTCGTCTACTTCCTGGTGTCGATCGCCGGCCTCCTCTACGCGCTGGTGCAGCTCGGTGAGCGGGGCGGGGCGGGGGTCCGGCGGGCCAGTCCTCGGGCGCCCGCCGCCGTGCGTCCCGCCCTAGGGATGAACCCCCGCGCAGATACCATTCATCTGGCTCGGCCCTCTGACAGCCCTCTGCGGCCGCCGGGCACCCTCCCTTGCTAGGACGCACCGCGGCTTCCCGCCGCACCTCGGATGAAATCCAGACTCCCCGGAGCATGCAGGGCCCCGCATGATCATGCCGCCGGCTGCCTCTCCAACCCCATTTCCTAACCCGTTAGCTCGCTCTGCTCCGGCCACACGAGCTTCAAGACAGTGTCTCAGAAACCGCACGTTCATTGCTCTCTCAAGCTCTTAACCTGTTCCCTCTGCCTGCGGTGCCTTTCTCCCAGCTCTTTCGGCTGCCTTTCTCATCCTTCAGGTCTCAGCTCAGATGTCATCGCCTCAGAGAGGCCTTCCCTGACCACCTTAGCTACAGTAACTCTTCTTTTTCTGGATTCTCTTTTATTCTCTGACCTATTTGCTGCCTTCATGGCCCTTATCACAATGCGTAATGTTTCTTTGCTTTCTTTGCGTAGTGTCTGCCTCCTCCGTAAAGTGAAAGCTCCACGAGAGCGTGGACCATATCTGCTTTGTTCTCTGATGCATCCCCAGCACCTAAGGCAGTGCTTCCCACGAGGAGCATTCAATAAATATTTATCCAATAATGGAACTGATTAATTTAATGAGTCTTTGGTCACACAACCAAGAAGACAGATTGAACCCTGCCTCTTAGGCAGGGATTTCCAGACAGGGTCACTGCGTGATCCTCAGGTGTTTGAAGGACTGTCCTGTTTTAGGAGCTCGCCTTGTCCTTTATGGCTCCAAAAGGCAAAATTAGGACCAGCAGGTAGAAAGCATAGAGGCAGATAATCAGCTCAATATCCAAATGAAAATTGTAACAGATGGAATTTCTTAAAGTTGGAGAGAGGCTGCTAATTGAGGTGGTGAGTTCCCCACCACCAGAGGTGTGGAAAAGGCTGTTAAGAGGTGTTGTAGGGAGAAGATTATGGCCCTTTGGGACACTCAACTGTGCTGTGGTTCTCTGTCCCATCCCTGCTTCCTGGGACCAGGCCAGCCATGTGACTGCCTCCCTCCCCTGCGGGCAGCAGCAGAGCAGCTCCGGCAGAAGGATCTGAGGATTTCCCAGCTCCAAGCTGATCTCCGTCGCCCACCCCCTGCCCCTGCCCAGCCCCCTGAACCTGAGGCCCTGCCTACTATCTATGTTGTTACCCCCACCTATGCCAGGTATGGGCTCTGGTGCACCCAAGAGGCCTGCATGGACCAAGAGGTTGGGGTTGATAAGGACTTTGGGGAGTCACTGGGCCAGGGGATGCCTCTCAAACTAGGGCATGCCAAATGACAGGATAAATGAACCACGTCGTTACTCAAAGATTTATGGGAAAATGGTTATTTTCTTGTGAAATAGAAGGGTGTACTATGAAGTAGAAGACGACATTCCTGAGAAATTTTCAGATAGAATAAAGTTTCAAAGAAATTTGGAGCTTGCCAATGAGTTCACTCTCTCTCCTTAGGGATCCTTTGGTGAGAAAGTTTGGGAACCCCTGACTAAATTGAAGTAAGAAAGGGCTTGGCCCTGTAGTCATCCCAGGGTCTAGAAATAGTTACACTAGCTATAATTTACAGTGTGTTTTTACTCTTACCAGGCACTGTGCTTTACTTAAAAAAAAAAAATTTAAATGTAGCCTTATTATTGATACAAACTAACTGGGGAAGGTGGTTTTGGAAATGTGGCCAAAGGGGCCTGCTAACAGCTCCCTGAAATCCGATGACTGAGCCATCCAAGAAGAGGCAGCTCTAGACCCTGTCCCCCTCCACACGCACACCACCAAGCCTGTGCAGGCAGGCCGAGCTGAAGGGTGAGGAAGCCTAGAAGAGACTGGTCCACCCCTTCCTAGTCCTTTGTCTAAACTCAGGTAGGTTAATCTTCCTCCCCTGAGAGGAATGAGTCAAGGGGCTCCTCTAAATTCCCCTACCTGGAAACCCAAGCACAGGAGGAAGAGAGCCTGGTCCTTTGGTGTGTTTTAGAAAGTCATTATCTTACCTGATCTTTAAAACAACATTGCTGTATACTGTTATTCCCCTTTTACAGCCAAGGAAACTGAGGCTTGGGGAGAGTGAGCCATTTCCCCCAGATGCCTTACCTAATGTTATAAACATGGCATTCAAACCCAGATTTGTCTGATTCCAAAGTCTGTGCTTCACTTTTAGTCTCCCACAACCCTGGGGTTGAGACCGGTGATAGATACGGATTACAAGAACACAGGGCAGGTGTGTGTCAGTGTGACGTTGACAGGCGAGAAGGGGAGTTGGGGAAAGGCCGTGGGAGATGCTAGAAGTGGCCCAGGAGAAGCTGTGCCTACCGGCTGGAGAATAGGCAGATGGTGCCTACCCCTCTGGCTCCTGCTGCATCTTACCTCCACAGGCTGGTGCAGAAGGCGGAACTGGTGCGGCTGTCCCAGACCCTGAGCCTGGTGCCCCGGCTGCATTGGCTGCTGGTGGAGGATGCTGAGGGCCCCACCTCCTTGGTCTCGGGGCTGCTGGCTGCCTCTGGCCTCCTCTTCACACACCTGGCGGTCCTCACCCCTAAGGCTCAGCGGCTTCGGGAGGGTGAGCCAGGCTGGGCTCGGCCCCGCGGAGTAGAGCAGCGGAACAGGGCCCTGGACTGGCTCCGGAGTGGAGGGGGTGCCCTGGGGGGACAGAAGGACCCACCCCCACCAGGGACCAAGGGAGTTGTGTACTTTGCTGATGACGACAACACCTACAGCCGGGAACTCTTTGAGGAGGTGAGCACTGTGATGGGTCTGAGAAAGAGACCGAGTGGGGGCAGCTTCCTCTGTTGTCTTGGTTACCAGTGTTGCTCTAGGCTGTTTGTTGGTTGAGGAGGGAGGAGCAGTGGGGTAGAGTGACCCAAGGGGTCCTTCCTGCTTCTCCCTTTCCCCTGGGCCACCCCCTGTCTGTTTCTTGTCTCCTGACCTCTGTTAGATGCGCTGGACCCGTGGTGTCTCAGTGTGGCCCGTGGGGCTGGTGGGCGGCCTACGATTCGAGGGCCCTCGGGTACAGGATGGCCGGGTTGTAGGCTTCCACACGGCGTGGGATCCCAACCGGCCCTTCCCCGTGGATATGGCGGGATTTGCAGTCGCCCTGCCCTTGCTGTTGGCTAAGCCCAATGCACAGTTTGATGCAACTGCTCCCCGGGGCCACCTGGAGAGCAGTCTCTTGAGCCACCTCGTGGATCCCAAGGACCTGGAGCCACGGGCTGCCAACTGCACTCGGGTAAGGGGATAGAGGTGGGTCACATAGGTCTGGGGTGGACAGGTGTTGGAGAAGTGGAGTGAGGCCCTGGGGAGGAGGATCAAAGGATGGGTGTTTGAACCAGGAGGGACGCTGCAGAACTCATATACATCCTTGCTTACTCTGCTGAAGGGGAAGCTGGGAGCCAGGGAAGAAAAGCAGTCTCCTGCCGCGCCACTCTGTCTCCCAGAGTCCTAGGCACACGTGTGGCACAGAGAGGGTAAGGGATGAAGGCCGCATTTTAGAGTCACTGAGGCCTCCCCCGACCCTGCCCTTCACACTTTGCAGCCAACACTCTGTGTATAGAGGGAGTTGGAGAATCCGGTCTACACAGAGAGTTCCAGAGGCCTGGCTACAGCTGGGTCCGACTCTAATGGTAGCCCTCCCGGGACAGGTTCTGGTGTGGCATACGCGGACAGAGAAGCCCAAGATGAAGCAGGAGGAGCAGCTACAGCGGCAGGGCCGAGGCTCAGACCCAGCCGTGGAGGTGTGACGGATGCCCCACCCCGACTACCACCTCATCGGGCGCAGACCTGTGGGACTGGGCCTCTGGCCTTCCCAGGATGCGGTTTTCCAAGTCCTGACTCCTCAGAGCCGGGGGCAGCCCCTCTGCCCCTTCAGCCCCAGGGCGTGGCCCAGCTGCTTTTCCCCTCCCCCAGCCTGCCATGTGGCACTCCCATAGGCTGGGGACAAGCGGCCCTTGTATTGAGCCAGGTCGGCCCTGTCTGGGGCGGAGCAGGACAGACAGACTCAGGAGAGAGGGCGGCTAACTAACTGGGTAACTTATTGGGGTTGGGCATGCACTGGGGGGCTGGAGGAGCTGGGCTGGACCCTCCCCACCTGAGCATGCTGACCCCCCTCCTACCTCCAGAATAAAATATTTCAACCTGGAGTGACTGATTTCCTTCATTTCCAAGTCTGGTTCTTGCATTCTGATCCTTACCAGGGCTCAAACCTTGGAGTCCTGGCTTCTCTCTCAGACAGAAATCAGTTCTCTCAGGGCCCCCACCCCCTTGAAGAGACAAATCAGTGGCATCAGTCCAAAAGCTTTATTGAGTCTGCACCAGAGCAGTCTCCAGTCCTTCCCATGTCACTTTCTCATCATCATGTTTTTTTCTGTTCCTGGGTGGTTCTGGCCACAGGGGCTAGACCAAGGATCCCTGTTTTTTTCTACCCAGTCCAGCTCAATGACTATCCTTAACCCCTCTAATCCCAGGGACCCCCCCCCTTCCCTACCACCTGGGGCCTTGGTAAAGAGTTGTGAGGTTTCCAGTCTTGTCGACTCCTCATGCCCCCCACCCTAAGCTCCAGGCCACTAGGCCTCAGGTAGACCCTCCTTAGGAGGTGCCTCTTCTGGAGGGGCCTCCTCAGGTGCTGGCCTGTGGGCACCCCCTCCCTGCAGCCATGCTGTCTTCAGCATGTCTCTCAGCCCACCAGGAAAGAGATAGCCCTGGGTCTCTCCTTCCCCATCAATGACTCCTTCAAGCTCCTCCAGTGCTGTTTGCAGGTACCGCAGGCCCAGGAGCACCACAGTCTGTGGGGAAGTCAAGGGGAAAGAGGTCAGTGAGGTTCCAGGGGCCCCAGGGTTGGAGGCAGTAAGGAGGCCCAGATGGAGGGAGGCCTCACTTTGCTGACTCACCTGCAGCAGGAAGGTGACAGCCAGCACGCTGCCCAGTGTGCTTGCCAACCCCTGCAGGTGTCCCAGCAGCACCCCGTGGCATCCTTGGGCCCAGAGGTTTAGGTTGGGCTGCCGGGGATCGAAGAGGGGGTGGGCATGAGGGTCTGAGAGCCGGCTTTGCAGGCAAGGCCTGGGTGAGTGGGGGTTGCAACAGGAGAAAGGGACCCCATCAATCAGATATAGGCCTTCCACATTGCTCTGGATCCGGCTGCAAAGGGAGGGGCAGGGGTATTAGGGTGTCTGGCGATAGAGGCCTGGGGTAGAAGCTGTGGGGCATAGGAGTTGAGAAGGGAAAAATGAGAGTAAGACATTTACTGATTGGTTTACTGTGTGCCCAGTGTGTATAATTCATTTGTCTTCACAGCAACTCTGTAAGATAAGTGCTATTATTATCTCCATTCTACAGATAAGGAAATGGGCCCAGAGCAGTTTGGTAACAGGCCCTGGGTCACATAGGTAATAAATGGCAGAGCTGTTAACTCATTCTCTCAATCACTATGCTCTATTTATTGCCTGTCTGGGTGAGGTGGGGTTTCAAGGGAGAAGGAAGAGGATGAGGATGAGGATGAAGATGGAGAAAGGGAGGAGGAGGAGGAGGAGATAAGCAAGTCACTCACTCAACCATGTCCTAGTCATTAGGATCCAGGTAACGGCTGCTGACCCACTGGACCCCAAACCAGTCCTTGTACCCATGGCGTCCGCAGCAGTGGTGTCTCAGCTGCAGCTCATCCAACAGCCGTTTGGCATGACAGTGTCCGGGCACCTCTGTGTCCTTGTAGTGAGCCATGGCAGCCCCCAGGCCCTCTTCCAGCCCAGTGTCCAGACTCCCAGGTAAAGCTAGTGCTAGCCCCAGGGCCAGGACCAGGAGCCCCCCACCTCCAGCAGTGCCAGCCACCAGCAGTGGGCCCAGGATCCTTCTCCAGGGAGGGTATTGAACTGCATCTAGACTGGCCCTGCTGGCTCCTGCACCCACCAGACCTGTGCTCAGAGCCACTGCTCCTGCTGCCAGGGCAACCTGGGGCAGGGCAGTGAACTGGCAGGAGGGAGCCAAGAAGGAGCCAAGGTGCCACAGCTGGACCAGGAGGTGCCCGCTACAGAGGAGGATGAGGCCACTGGCCAGCGCCAGTAGCCAGGAGAGGAGCCAGAGCCCCTGAGCCAGACGGATGCGGGGCTGGAGGGGCAGCACCAGGGGCAGCACAAGCGCCATCTCCCATCTCTGCCCATGGGAGAGCAGAGCTGTCAGGGAAGGGGTTGGCAGGGGCAGGACGCTGAGTCAGCCCAGCCAGGCTTGAGCTGGGCTAATGCCACCCTGACCCCAATACCCTGGGAATCCTCCCACCCTCAGTCTTAATAACCTGCCACCCGGTCCCCTACCCGTCCCAATTCGGGATGCCTTGGCCTTGTCCCTTAGGAAAAGCCCCGCCCCCGGGCCCCTCCCGGAAGAGGGGAGGGGCTGGTCGGCTCTGCCCCGGGGGTCTAGGGGCTGGAGGGCGGAGACCTCAGGGCCCCCGCTCCCTCCGGTGTCCCCTGGGAGTCCGGGGGCGGGGATCCGAGAAGGGCCCCGAGGGCGGAGGCCCAGCGGGGGCCAAAGGGGGGGGTGTCATCGGGTTGGCCCCGCCCCGTACTGAGCGTTGAGGCCCGGACAGGGAGGGGTTACCAGGCTGCCCGGCCCCCCCCTCGTCCCGCCCCCCCTCCCGCGCTTCCTGGCGGCTCCGCGTCCGGCGCCTGTTTGTGCTGCGGCGCTGGGGCCCCGGACGGTCCCGCCACCCCACCCCCGGGAGCCAAGAGCGGCCCCTGGAGAACCAGAGGCTCCGGCGGGCCCCGGAGCCTGCGTCCCCCGCCCCACAGCGCCCCCTCCAGGCCCCTTCCCCGAGCCCGACAGCGCCCCCGGGGGGCGGCACGGCACCCTTGCGCTCGCGCCCCGGGGTGCTTCCCCTTCCCCTCTCCCTGGCCATGGCTCCCACGGCTTAGACGCCTCCTCCGTCGCTGCCGCTCGGAGCAAGCCGGGGGGCCGGATGGACGGGGCCGGGGGGCCCGGTGAGTACGGGGCGGGGCGGGCGGCGTGCCCCTTCCCGGAGAGCTTGGCCCGTCGCTCAGGCGCTGCCAATGCCCGACGGCCGTGTGTTGGCGTCCCCGCGTGCTCCTCGGCCCCGGGGGCTCTGAGCATCCTCCACTGTTCCTCAGGTCGCTCCTACTGTCCTCCTACTGTCATTTCGGACTTCCCCAACATCATCCTACCTCCGATGTTACTCCGGGCCCCTCGATGTTTCCCTGCTCCCTACGTTACTCTGGGCCTCTTCTGCTGGTATTTCGGGTCTTTTTACTTCTGACCCCCAGTGTTACCCTGAGACATTCACTATGACTGCCTCCACTGATACCCTTTCCTGTCATTCTAGATTTCTTCTCCTGATTCTCTGAGTCCTCAGAATGACTGTATTCTTGTGTCCCCCTTCTCTGCTGGTGCCACCTTCTCAGTTTCTCTGCCTTCCCTGGAGACCTGAGCTTGCTCTGGGGTGGGCCCTGTGGGCCCTCACAGTACTGCGCCTCCCTCTGTGGTTCCCACGTTCCTGGGCAGTACTCCATATTTTCCCCCTGGTACTCCATGGTACACCCTGTCTTTGCGGAGGCTGGGATGGCAGCAGGAAGGGAGCTTTGCCAGCTTCCTCGCCTGCCCTGCCAGAAGGAGGCCCTTGATCCCCCACCACCCTTCTCCTCCCCTCTGGGCCAGCCTCCAAGCCTGGGGCTGCTTGCAGGGGGCAGTCTTATTGGCAAATGCGAAGTTGGGGGGCGACAGAACCCCCTGAACCCTTTCCCCAGGTGGTGGTACATTCTGAGTGTTTCTTGCCCCTTTCCCAGGCGAGGGCCCTGCTCAGGAGGCCCTGCAGTCGCTGAGCCAGCGGCTTCAGGTGCAGGAGAAAGAGATGGAGCTGGTAAAGGCGGCCCTGGCAGAAGCCCTTCGCCTGCTGCGGTTGCAGGCACCCCCCACCTCCCTGCAGGACTCTGGCATGCCAACTCCTACAAGGGACAGGTATGCATGTTGTCACGCCCTCTTCATCATCCTCCCTGGGGCTTCTAGGGGCATCAGGTTGATTCACTGTCTCCTCAACAGTCCTGCAGCCCCCCCAGGACTGCCACCCACATGCAGCCCCTCCTTGGTGAGCCGAGGCACCCAGACGGAGACAGAGGTGGAGATGGAGCCATCCCCTGGACCCCCCGGCCTTAGCAATGGGCCCCCAGCCCCTCAGGGGGGCAGTGAAGAGCCTAGTGGGACCCAGTCTGAAGGAGGGGGCAGCAGCAGCAGTGGCACTGGCTCCCCTGGGGGCACTGGCTCCCCAGGGATCCTCAGGCTTGTGCATCTCCCACAGCACACTGACACGTGAGTGTCCTGTGGCAGAGGCTGGGAGGGGTGGGAGGACTTGGGAGCATGATTAGAGGGAATGACCTTCACATACTCACTATGCTCCTATCAGGGCACGGAGAAATTCTTCCTCCTCATCCCCCTCAGAGCGGCCTCGACAGAAACTCTCCCGGAAGGCAGCTTCCTCGGCCAACCTGTTATTGCGGTCAGGGAGCACAGAGAGGTGGGCGAGGCTCCCCCAACCTGCCCCACCCCAGGCTCAGGCTCTTGACTTTCCTCATCCCTCACTCGCTTCCCTGGGCGGGGTGGGGGGACCTCATCGCCCAACAGGAAGAAAGGAACAAGCACTCCTGGGGCGCCTGCTGTGTACCCGGCACTGTGCTAAACCCTCGACCTCCTCCATCTCATTCAGTCCCCACGACATCCTTGGGGGGTAGGTGGTCTCATGCTGTTCACTGTCCAGGTGAGGAAGCAGGCTCAGAGAGGGTAAGTCATTTTCCTGGGGTCACACAGCTAGAGTCAGGATTTGAACCCAACTCTTCCTGACTCCAGTTCCCCTATTCTTTCCACCATATCACAACATACCGCCCAAGATTCCAAGAGACTGTTCCAAAAGCTCTCATGATTTTCACGGGTGACTGTCCTCAGAGTGTCAGCTCCCCACTTCTCCGCCCACTACCAATCTACCAGGCTTTATTTCTCGAGAGCAAAGGGAAATCCTAGGGGCTGAGCATAGTTGTGTCAGTGTGCTCGGGTCCCAGGACACCTGAGTGTTCATTCTAGCCCTAGGTCTCTCTTTTATTCTCTGAAGAGATATTATCACATTATTATCTAATGACAGCGATCTCTGGAATTCTTCTGTCACTTTCCTCTTGAGAGAGAAGGATTTTCTTTCCAGATCCCTGAAAGTCAGGGTTGGTGTACATTCCAGATTCACTTTGGTCCCATTTTGTAGGAATGGGGAAATTAAAAAGTCCATAGCCAGGAACCTGGTGGTCTGGAGGAAACGGCTTCTCCCTGTCATCCTGCACTGCCTTTTACAAACTTTATGGCCTTGTGCCGTGTGCCCAGCCCCTTTAGCCTCAATCTTCTTATTTCTTACATGGAGCTAAATGCCTAGAATGCAAACTAAAGCCTGCAGAGGGACCGTAGTCTCTGGAGTAACTTCCTTTCTTGTGTCCTGCCCCTCCCCATTTATATCTTGGGACCTGACCCCAATCCCTATGCTTTTTTCTCTTCCTAACAGCCGTTGGGGGAAAGACCCTCTCTCTAGCCCCGGGGGTCCTGGATCTCGGAGGAGCAATTACAATTTGGGTAAGTACAGAAGCATCTGGAAGAATTTGGATGACAGAGTTAGGGTTTGGGCCGCAGCCCCAGGAGTTACTTTGGGGTACCTGTGAGGTGTGGTGGGTAGAGTTCTGCTCTGACTTTCCCGGAGGGAGGCTTCAGGGTGGTGGTTGACCCCCCCCCCTTTTTCTCTGTAGAAGGCATCTCAGTGAAGATGTTCCTTCGTGGCCGCCCAATTACCATGTACATCCCATCTGGCATCCGCAGCCTTGAGGAGCTGCCCAGCGGCCCACCCCCGGAGACCCTCAGCCTTGATTGGGTGTATCCTGCCCCCTCCAGGCCCATGGGAACCATCTTTCCCATCTTGGACTCCCCCCTCCCCCCCTTATGGTTTGCTCCTGGGTCTGCGGGAACAGGGAGACCTGAATCTTCCCCTACCATCCTCTGCCAATGGCACTGCCAGCCAAAAGCTCTGCCTTCCTCCCCTCTTCCTGATCCTGCCCTTGAGCTGACCCTTTCCTTGACCGTGATCCCCACTCCAGTTATGGGTACAGGGGTCGGGACTCCCGCTCTAATCTGTTTGTGCTGCGTTCTGGGGAGGTAGTCTACTTTATTGCCTGTGTGGTGGTGCTGTACCGGCCTGGGGGAGGCCCAGGGGGTCCTGGAGGTGGCGGCCAGAGACATTACCGGGGGCACACAGACTGCGTTCGATGGTGAGGGGCCTGGGGCCTGGGAGTGGGCAGCTCTAGGCAGGGGAATGGGCGGCTTGGCAGGAAGAGGGCCTGGGCGGGTGTGGAGGAATAGAGAAAGGAGCTGCCTTGCTGCTCTGCAGGCGTAGAGAAGGTGTCCTGGGTGGTCTTGAGAGACTGACCCCCTTCCCTAGAGTGTGTTCTCCTCCACTTAGCCTGGCTGTTCACCCTGATGGTGTTCGTGTGGCCTCAGGACAGACGGCTGGAGTGGATAAGGATGGAAAGGTAAGGCCAAAATCAAACCCAGGCAGACAGGATGCAATTCCAGCCCAGCTGCCCTTTGCACCCCTGACCCCTTCTCCCGCTTCAGCCTCTGCAGCCTGTGGTTCACGTCTGGGACTCAGAGACCCTGCTGAAGCTGCAGGAGATTGGACTGGGAGCCTTCGAGCGGGGTGTGGGGGCCCTGGCCTTTTCAGTTGCGGTGAGCTGGCCCCAAAGGTTCTAGACCCCCATCTTCCTTGTCTGAGAACCCCCTTCTTGCACTTCATCAGAAAGCTTCAGAAGTTCTGGCCTTCCTGATCCCTGCCCAGCCAGTTTTGTGAGCAAGACACATGTGTCCACTTCTCCTGCCCTCCCAACCTATGATGGCGCCCCTTGCCTAATGATCATGAATCCCTGGACCTCTAGGCCATACTCAGCCCCTGTGCTATGTGTCCCTATCCTTAGGATCAGGGTGCTTTTCTTTGTGTGGTGGATGATTCAAATGAACACATGCTGTCTGTGTGGGACTGCAGCCGGGGCTCCAAGCTGGCTGAGATCAAGGTGAGGAGTCCAGGAGGCCTGCAGGGTGCCAAGGGTGGGGGAGGTGGGAGTACTGGGGTGCAGAGAGTGCAGTCTTAGCCATACATTTACTTTCTTTCTGGCTGGGTCACCTGGGGCCAGCCTCCCAGCCTCTCCGAGGCTGTGAAATGGGGACGACAGAAGTTCTGACCTCACAGGAGGTAATGTGTTAGGCACCGGGGTGAGTAATCAGGAGTGATTGTGAGTAGTGCTCTTAGGGGACGAGGGTCTGGAAGGAAGGGGTTTCTGGACTTCTGTAGACCAGCTGTCAGGATGCAAATGAAGAGAGTCAAGTAGAGTGAGGGTGCTCAGGGCTTGGGGTGGCTGAATCGAGTATCTTCCCTTCAGAGCACAAATGACTCCGTCCT